TTCCTATTCCCTGACCAGCTGTGGTTTCTGCTGCTCCTACCAGTGACCTTCCCATTCCATCACTTCTGTTTACACGGAGCTTCTAGTCTCTTATGACTTCTGCTTCTTGCCTTCCTCCTGTGTCTCTGGCTTCAGCCCACCCTACTGTTTTTTGATGCTCTCAGGGTCTCCCATTTAAAGCTTCTAAAAGACAGGTGGGTCAGCAGTCATGATCTCATATGATGCGCCTCCATTGGGTATACATCACAGCAAGCAAGTCACCATAAGGGTCAATGGACTGCCTGCAGAAGGCTGGCTTGGGATCAACCACTGGTTCTTCATCTAGCTGCCTTTGACCAAGAAAGGAGAGTCATAGGATATACAGCATGGCAAGCTCTGCATAATAAATCCCTGAGGAAAAGGAAACTGTGAGCTTGGCAGGCACGGTGGGACTTCTCAGAAAGCCCTGTGACATCCAGGACAAGGCACGTCACATCAGCATCCCTCTGGTTGAGCCCCCGGCCAGTCTCCTTTCGGGCTTAGCTCTGTGTGCCCTGAGCTCAAGCCCAGGGGTTCAGTTGCTCTTCTGCATGAATGTGGTTCTCTGTGTCTTCTTTCCCATCCAGACTGGCTCTCCAATAGGAAGCAGCTCTTTATGGTCTTCCTCCCTTCCTCTCTGTCCCTGAAAGAACCATGTGGTTTGTCTGTTTTCAGTGCTTTCCTGCTAATTACTCTGGTTTGAGTGTGGGCTAACTAGAACAGCAAACATTAGGGAAGTTGTACATCTCAGAAGAGTTCCATGAGTAGTTTAGGTTGAAATGCAAACATTTTTGACCTAATAATAATAACATGTCTACATCTTAATCTCCAGAACCTGTGAATACCACCTATTATGACAAAAGAATGATTGTTAACTTTTATGGCAAAGTGATGTGGTTAGTTAAGGATCCAAAGGGAGAAGCTTATGCTGGATCATGAGAGTCCTTGTGTGAGAAAGGCAGTGGGAGATTAGACAGAACACAGAAGAGGAGGTGGCTGCAGGCCCGTAGAGATGGAGATTGGAGTGATGTGGCCACAAGCCAAGGAATACCAGCAACTTTAAGATGTGGAAGAAGCAAGGGAAGATCCCCCCAGAGCCTTTAGTAGCACTGCATCCATGCTGACACTTTCATTTCAGATTTCTAGCCTCTAGGACTATGAGGAAATAAACTTTGGTTGTTTTAAAGTATCCAGTTTATGGTACTCTTTGTAGAAGCCCTAGGAATCTAATACATATACTGTCTTAAATGTTCCATGGAAGCTTCCGAACTTCTTGAGAGCTGACCAGTCTTATGTTATTGGTTCGCAAACTAGAGTGGATTGTGACCTGAGGTAGGTTCAGGATAGGTCCTCAGCTGGTCTGCAAGTTTTGTGAGAGTAGGACTAGGGTGCACATTCGAGGTGCAATATTTGTTGAATAAACGAACACGTTCTCTGGCTTTCTTCTAATCCAGTTTTTACTGGTTCTGTGCATCCAGATGACTCCTCTGACCTCAGATGGCCCTGCAATTTAAAGATAGGACTTTTCTAGCCATTTGTTTCATCCCAATCTGGCCCCTGGCCTTTCGCAGTTCTTTCCACTGTTCTTCCTTTCAGCACCACATAGACACTCTGGATAAGAAAGACATCTTGCCCTTCTTTTTGTTTCCTTTAAATCAAGCAAACTATTGTTTCTGAAATAAACCTCATTACAAACAGACCTTGTTTTATTGCATTTTGCTTTATTGCCCTGTGCAGATACTATGCTTTTTTTTTTTTTTTTTACAAATTGAAGGTTTGTGACAAATTGAACAAGTCTGTTGGCTCCATTTTCCTAACAACACTTGCTCACTTCATGTCTCTATGTCATATTTCAGGCTTTTTCTTTATTATTGTGTTTGTAACTTGCACAGTATTTCAGACTTTTTCATTATTATTGTATTGTATTATTGTATTTTTTTGGTAATCTGCCATCAGTCATATTTGATGTTACTTTTATAACTCATTGAAGACTGAGGTGATAGCATTTTTAGCAGTGAAGTATTTTTTAATTAAGGTGTGTACATTTTTAGACATAATGCTGTTGCACCCTTAATAGGCTACAGTACAGTGTAAACATAGCTTTAATTTGCACTGGGAAACCAAAAACTGCATGTGACTCAGTTTACTGTGGTATTTGCACTGTTATCTAGAATCAAACAGCCAGTATATCTGAGTCATGCCTATGTATCTTCTTTCCATTTCTGCTGTCCATCTCTCAAGCTTAATCAAACTCTGTTTCCCCACCCCCTCCCCCTGACAGAACTTTCTCCTCTTTGGAACTTTCATGCCACCTTATTTATCCCTTTTCTATATCACTTATTTCTGTTTGGAAACCATATATTTATGAGAATACCATCTCTTCTGCCAGACCATTCACTTCATCTTTCTCTTACTGCACCTTTTAGGGACAACTTACAGGACAGGAACCCAAGAAATATTGGATAATTGAATAAACAGAAATTTGGGAGTTTCAACAAACATAGAGAAATTTTGCAATAAAACCCTTAATAAGCTAGGAAGTTAAGAAGGTAGAAGGTAAATAAAATTATTTTGAAACAACAGTGACGGCCCAGTTGAAAGGGTGGTGGGCTAGTCTGAACTTGGATGGGAAGGTCAGAATAGTTAGATGAATCTACACTTGGTTTCTTAGTTTTTTTTTTCTATTGCCCAATAGCAAATTACTACAAACTCAGCAGCCTTTAAAAAGGCACTTGGTTATCATCTCACAGTTTTTGAAGGTCAGCAGTCCACACATGGTTTAGCTGGGTCTTTTGCTGAAAGGCTTCTCACAAGATGCGAATCATCAGCCAGGGCTGGGGTCTTAGTGGAAGGACTTAGTGGGGAACGAGCTCTTACAAAGAGCATGGCTCTTGGCAGGATTCAGTTATTCATGGGCTGCTAGACTCAGAGCCTCAGTTTCTAGCTGGCTGTTGGCCCGAGGATGCTCCCTTAGGTCTTGTCATGTGGGCCTCCCCAGCATAGCTCTGTGGCTCATCAAAGGCAGCGAGAGAAGTAGCCTGCTACCAAAACAGAACTCACAGTCTTATGTAAACAAATCATAGAAGTGATCAATCATCACCTGTACCAGATACCGTAGGTTAAGGCAAATCAGTGCCTACCTTCCAACAAGGGCGTAGACATGAAAAGACATCTTTGAATCTGTCTGCCACTTCTGATAAGTACCATAGACATTCCTTAAGTATTCTGAAAAGGTCATGTTCCAAAAATTGGTTTCTTTTGGCTGGAACTAAGAATTCAGTAGGATTTCCTTACAGAAACAAGGGAGTTAGATTCCTGGGCTTACCTCCAGGTAAGGGCCATTTTACTCAGAGTGGGCCAAGTAGCACACTAACCAAACTACAGTAACCTACATTTATTTGTGCCGTTGTTATTCCGTGAGAATATGCTTTCCAAATGTCAGGTTGGGGTGTTGGGACAAATTCTCCAATTAGCAGATCTTTAGCATAGCCGTGTAGGGAGGTTAGAAGTTCTATAAGTCTGTCATCAGGAACTCATCAAGTATTTCACACTATGTATATGAACAGATGATCCCCAAGCAAAATATTTATCCATAAGCTGATAATCAATGACACATTTACAGTGTAAATGTATGTACACCATAAATATATCATTTATGGTGTACTTATTCTCTGACATCCTCAATATTTGTATGGAAAATCTGAACATTTCCAACAGGGAGAGCAAATCATTTTCAAAGACTTTCAAAAAGTATCATTCAAGAAAGCATTTCAAATCATTTTTATATTCTTTAGACTAAACAAAAACTTCCACCGAAGCAATACTGAAGCCCCTAGGCTGAAGTTCCTGGTCATGGTTTGTTTACACTGAATCTCATGGGTTAGTAACAATGCCACCTCCTCTGCCTGCAGCTCGAGGTGGAAGACTCTCCCCATTAGATCAGCAGAAGAATTTCTTTTGAATTTTCAACTTCATCAAAGACTGGTCTTCTCCCTGTTTGAAGTCTTCTCTTGCTTCTTAGCCATTGGGGGTGCTTTGAACTCAGCTCCCACTGACCCTGTTTCCTCTTCAAAGGCTTCTTCCCTTCCATGCAGGGAGAAAATGCCCTTTGAAAATAGTGGGTTCCTGCCTTATGTGAGTCAGTTGGTGTAAGTGGCAATAAACAAAAATAATAATAAGCAGCAGGAGAAAATGGGGAAGTGGAAGGAAAGCCACTCTGCAGTATTACTTGGAGGAGAAAGTATTTAATATGCCTTATTCTCTGCTATGCTGCAGCTCTGTAGTTTGCATGAAGCAGGGGATGGGCGTTTAAAGTGACCTATCCTTTGGTGGGGATTTTGGCCCAGGTGGACTTTCCAGAGATGTCATACATAGGAAAATCCAAATTTAAAGCAACTTCACTTATCTGAATGAGAATCTTCCCGAGACACATTTACCAGTTAGACCCTGTCATGAGACAACGACCTGGACATCTTGTTTCATCTGGAAACACAAACTGAAGCTGAAAATTCTTGAGCATTATTCTTTTTCTGAGATATTGACTCAGGAGTTCATGGACTAGTTATGGGTTGATTCTGCTGTGCTTTTTTTATTTTGTCCAATTTAAGTCGCTGACTTGCATATGTACAATTTTAACCCTGATGAAGTAGTTTCTGTTTTGTTTTCTCAGGAAGGTGCTACTAGAGTTGTGATAGCTTGTAAGACACTTAAAAAGTAGGTCCTTCCCATTCTAGAAGTCTCTGATTATGTGATCTTAGGTAAACTATCAGTAGGAGCATCAGCCACTGTGACGTAGAATACCTCCTTAAATTGCTGCCTGATACAGAACAGTTCCAGCATTAAACCGCAGTGGCCTGTAGTTAGAACACTGATCAAACCACATTTTCCTTCATATCTGGTCATGGGTTCTATTAATGTGCTAGGGCTGCCATAACAAAATACCATGGACTGGATAGTTTAAACACCAGAAACTGATTACTCACAGTCCTAGAGGCTGGAAGTCCAATCAAGGTGTTGACAGAGTTGGTTTCTCCTGAGGCCTCTTCATGGCTGCCTTCTCACTGTGACCTCACATAGCTTTTTCTCTTTTGTGATCACACCCCTGCTGTCTCTTCTGCTTACAAGGACACTAGTCCTATTGGTTTAGGGCTCCACCCTTATGATCTCATTTAACCTCAGTTACTTCTTTAAAGATCCTGTCTTCAAGTAGTCACAATGGGGGTTGGGGTTTCAACATGGGAATTTTGGGAGAACTTAATTCAGTCCATAGCATGTGGTTACCAGTAATGTCCATAGGTGGATTGGAAGTCGTAAATAGTTTGTGAAAACTGTGTGTGTATGTGTGTGGCTTTTTTCTGGGGAGAAAGTTCATGCTTTTCTTGGGAATTTCAAAGAATGCTAATAGGACACACGGCTTTTCATCAACTTCCCTAATTATTTTTCTAGTTGGGATGATATATCCTGATCTTCACAAAGATTCTGTGATTCTGTTAGCCCTGTTGTTTCATTCTTCCCAGATTTTGAGATACTCTGATTTGGCTATGAATCGTTAACTCTGTCAAAAGGTTAGGGAGAACATGTTTTCTTATTCTGCTGAGATAACTAAAATGATGATGTTACATTTTTTCGGTACCGACCAGCTTAGAGTGTCTTTTTTGGTAAATGGTGGCTTAGGTGCTTAAGAAAAATATGTAGTTTTATAAATCAAATAAACATCTGAGAAAGTTAAAGAAAATAGCAATTAAAAAGCAATTATGAATTTAGGACATAGGAATAGTACTGCAAAAATAAATAGAGCTGAACTTCCCAGTTATAGGCACTATTGTTTGTGTGTGCTAAGTTGCTTCAATCATGTCTGATTCTTTGCAACCCCATGGACTATAGCCCACCAGGCTCCTCTGTCTGGGGGATTCTCCAGGCAAGAATACTGGAGTGGGTTGCCATGCCCTCCTCCAGGGGATCTTCCTGACCCAGGGATCAAACCTGCGTCTCTTACATCTACCTGCGTTGGCAAGTGGGTTCTTTACCACTAGCAGCACCTGAGAAGCCCCAGTGTTGTTTATGCCTGTATAATGTGCAGGGGAAAGCCATGAAAACCAGTAGTAGGGATATAGGCCCTATAATAAAAACCTACAGAAATTAGAATTTTTTAAATAGAAAATGAGTATGACTGATACTCCAATAGTTATCCCTAGCCAGTACCTTCTCTCCCTCTCCCATAGGCCTGCACCTTTATGTGGGTCCCATCATACGTTGATGTCTGGGGCTATTTTTATTGAATATACGTGCCAACGACTTTTTAAACTTGAACTTTGGATTTTCATTTGCCATCAATTAGTTTAATTTTGATAGGTTTAGACATTTTTCTTGCCCAGTGGTATTCAATTTTATTTTTTACTTGTGGAAACTTTAAATCCAGACAAAATCTTCCATGGATGCCAAATGGACAAAAATGGAGCTTATAGTTGAGAGAAAATAAAAAGGGGGGGGGGCTGCTGAAATAAAAAAAATGTATTATCAATATGATATTTCCCTAATCCCAGGTCTGCTCTATTCGGAATGCCCAGTTCATCAACTGTCCAGAGCAGATTATTTCTTTCTTTTCTTAATTTTCTATATATATTAAAATATCATAAGAAACAAAGAAAATTATATTCCCAGTTGTCTTTTTTTTTTTAATCAGCTGGGACATAGTTATTTTCCTCTGACAGCAACCTTTTGTAAAAATGTCAGTAGTGGATGGGAAAATTAAGGCGATGCCCACTTCCCTTTCCTCATTTAGGACAGTGATGGTGGGAGGAGATTGGAAATCCTACATCATATAACTGGCTTTGGAAACATCTTCAACCTTTGGTCTCATTTGCTTCTAAAGCATGCATCTGGAGTCATAGAAACTAAATATATAAGATGTCCTATGACTTTCTGGTGAATGGCTATTTTGGAAAGAATCTTTTCACAGCTCCCAGGTCATTTTTGCTGAAGTCACTGTGTCAGTATCAAAGACATCTGGTAACTCACTGCCTTGATCCATGCCTGATGGCTTTTAGGGAGCGCTCCAAGCTCCTGGGGTCCCATCCATCCTTTCCTGGAGTCAGTAACACCTGAATTGCTAAAATAAAATGAACTTTGAAATGGGCTGTTTACTATTAGAGTTTGAATATTTCCAATTTTTAAATTAAAAATATTTTTAATAAGCTTCATTCACTGACCTTCACAAAGATTTAAGGAAATGTTTCTTAAAAAGCAAATTAGCTTCTGAAATTAGTACAGATCCAACACTTGGGAATCTTTGGAGTTTTCGGTGGAAATGCATACTGAATCCATGCATGTGTGTGTGTGTTGAAATGTTATAGTTACGCATTTATATTTTGACAGAAAGTTTTATGCTTGCTTTTTTGGTTTTTGTTTGTTTGTTTGTATTTGGTTTAGTTTGGTTTGCTTTGGTTTGGTTTCTTTCGGGTTGGGTTTTTTGTTTTGTTTTGGTTCTCACAACATTTTGGCTCTAAATGGCTGGGCAAAGAAATAAAAGTTTGCAATGTTTTATGTAATTTGCCCCTAAGTCATGCAGAGTTTGTGTCAAAACTAAATTGAGATCTTTTTTCAGCCAGGATGTTTTTTTAATCTGCTAGTTTAACTAGTGAACACACCGCCCTCTGTTTCTCAGTGTATCTGGTAGGTTCTGAACTGTGCTAGGGGCCAGGAGGACACAGAAATACGCCTCAGGCCTTCTCCTCACATCTGCACCCTCTGCCTTGACTCCACAAGCTCAGACAGTCCAATAGGCCAGGATAACCTCTTCATGACTTCTAATTTCACTTGTGTCCAGTGATGTCTCTGAAAGATGGAGACATAGTTCCAAAAGCATACATTTTGGTGAGAGGCTGAGTTCCTCTTACCGATCATCACTTTCTGCCAGCCCTCAAGATTAAGCATAACCGTGTGCTGCTGGTGATGCTTTTTCTATTGAAAATTAAGGAGGGAAGGAAAAGAAAATGAGTAACTGTTGAATGCCTGTTTATGGCCAGCTATGGGTTTATATAATCTAATCTTCATGACAGTGTTGTGCTGTTCCCATTTAACAAATAAGAAAAGCCAGGTAGATGTCCAAGGTCCTCCAGCTTAATCCCTGATATCAACAATATTTGAATCTATGTTTCTCCAAGGTCAAAGGGCAGATGTTTCTCACTAGACTGAACCATTTCTATATAATTACTAGAGAAGCCCTCAGTTTCCTCACCAGGAAAATAAGGACAAAAGTCTTCCACTTTGTTTAATCTGTCACAAAATGGGAGCGTATTGAACACACTGAATAAATTCAGATGAGTTTGTGTTCATGCAGCCTCTTCATGAATCATGAACAACCACCGGCAAATTATGACTCAAGTCATCAATAGCCTTAATGTTTGTTCTGACTCAGCAATGCTGAATTACCTGTCACCCCATCAAAGTTTTCTTCTTTGACATTGTTAACATCAAACATTCCATTTTCACACACACCCTTTTGCAAACTTCATTAAACTTTTGTTTAAAGATTTTGCTTCTCTCAAGTGCTTCTTACCCTGCAGCCTCTCTTAGCTAATGAAGGTATTTCATAGACGTAATTGGCAGAGAGAATCAAAGATGGACGTGCAAACAGAATGAAAAAGGAAACCTGCAGAGGGAATGGCATAGCTGAGGCAAAGAAACACTTTGGAAATTATAAATGAAAGGTTAAATTGAAAATAACTTGAAACTTCCCTGGTGGTCCAGTGGTTAAGACTCTGTGCTTCCACTGCAGGGGGCACAGGTTTGATCCCTGGTCGGGGAAATAAGATCCTGCTTGCCCCACAGCTTAGTCAAAAAAATAAATAAAGTGAACATTGGGTTACAAGTGCCTTTTTCAGTTAATAGTTTTCTCAGGGAGCCCAGTCTAGCACCCTGTGATGACCTAAAGGAGTAGGATGGGAGATGGGAGGGAGACTCAAGAGGTAGGTAATATACATATATATATATATATATATAAAACATATAATTATGGCTAATTTGTGTTGTTGTAGGGCAAAAACCAACAGGACATTGTAAAGCAATTATCCTCAAATTAAAATTTTTTTAAAATAAAGTGAGTTTCTTACTTTAAAAAATAAATCAAAGTAAAGTTTAGGAAAAAAGAAAAGAAAACAATTTGAGGAGCAATGAAGGAAAGGTCTTAAATTCTAGAACCAAGAGTTTAGATCGGATGATATGAGTTTTCAGGATCTACTGCACTTTTGTCTTCTGTCCCCACCAGCTGCTGACACCGGCTTTACTAATGTCTCTGCTGATCCATTTTCCAGGACGTTGGTGGACATTTTTGGTCCTATTTTGCCTTCTCAGAGGAATTGAATGGAACTGACTGTTCCATCCTCCTATTTTCCTTCCCTTGGCTTCCATGATACATTTTCTGGCTTTTCTTTTCTCTCTCTGGCTCCTTCCTCTACTAGGCATTGCAGACTCATCTTGTGCCATCCAACTTTAAACATGGAGTTCTTCCAGACTTGTTCTCAGGCCCTCTTCTGGTCTTAATGCATACCTTGCTCTTAAGTGAGACTGTCTACACAGTAACTTCACCTGCCACCTAGCTAATAAGGATTCTTTTCCAAGCTCTAAACCCATGTGAACCTGAACATGGTAAAGATTGCTCTTGTCTAACATGCTCATGGCCAAAGTTGGGAATGAACACAGTGTCTTTTTTGAATGATTGTTTGTATAATGGACAGGGAACTCTAGAAGAGCAATGACATGGCAAAATGACTGGTGATGAATTTAATTTTGGATTGGCTGCTTTTCTGCAAGTTTCACTTCTAGTGCCCTGGAGGCCAGCTGAACAATTTCTATAGAATACATGTGGGCCAGAGTTATATTGAAGAAGGGAATAAATGGAAACAGAGAGAGTCTTCTACTTCTTAAAGTCAGCTCTCCCCACCTGATACTTCAGTTCAATATACTTAATTGTACTCAGTGTTTATTAAATAGTGGGAATTTACTTCTGTCCTCTGCTTATCTTT